AATATTGACACGCATGACCTGCCAACGAGACCTGAAAATTAAACCCAGGCGTACTTGAAGGCTGTAATTTCTTTATTTGTGTCAATAAAACCTCAAAATTAAACCCAGATGTTCCTGAAGACAGTAATGACTCTGTATATGCCAACAACACCTTGAATTAATGTGGGACGTTCTCGAAGGCAGTAATCATGTGATGATATGCCTGAGTGATCTCTCTCTGTGTCTGTCTGTCTCCCTCTCCCTCCCTCTCCCCTTCACCCCCCTCCCTCTCCCCTTCACCCCCCTCCCTCTCCCTCCCTCTCCTCCCTCTCCCCATTCACCCTTCCTTTCTTCCCTCTCCTCTTCACCCCCCTCCCTCTCCCCATTCAACCTCCTCCCTCTCCCCTTCACCCCCCCTCCCTCTCCCCTTCACCCCCTCCCTTTCCCCTTCACCCTCCCCTACCCTATCCCCCGTCCTCCGCCCGTCCCCCTCCCCCTCCTCTTTGATTTTTTTTAATGGGGCTGTTTACTTTTAGTTTAGTATCTTTATGGAGACTTTCTTTAAATGGTCAGTTCTAGTTTTACAATATTTTTGTTTTGTCATCTCTATCGTTTTTACAGACAATTTTAAGAGATTTTTAATGTGGTATAATTTCATGTCAGTTCAAGTTTAAAGAAATATTGATCTGGTATATTTTAATGTCTTTTTTTTAAAGGTCAGTTCAAGTTTTAAAAGATTTCTCTATAATATCCCTCGTTTTTTTTTTTCGTTCTACTTCCTCTGAATTCCTTCGTCAAAGTAAGTTTTTTTTTTCTTTTTCTCTTCGCCTCCTTCCTTAATGCAACCTGGGCGTTCTTGAGGATAATATTGACACGCATGACCTGCCAACGAGACCTGAAAATTAAACCCAGGCGTACTTGAAGGCTGTAATTTCTTTATTTGTGTCAATAAAACCTCAAAATTAAACCCAGATGTTCCTGAAGACAGTAATGACTCTGTATATGCCAACAACACCTTGAATTAATGTGGGACGTTCTCGAAGGCAGTAATCATGTGATGATATGCCTGAGTGATCTCTCTCTGTGTCTGTCTGTCTCCCTCTCCCTCCCTCCCGCCCTCCCTCCCTCCTTCTCTCTTTCTCTCTCTCTCTCTCTCTCTCTCTCTCTCTCTCTCTCTCTCTCTCTCTCTCTCTCTCTCTCTCTCTCTCTCTCTCTCTCTCTCTCTCTCTCTCCCTCCCTCTCCCTCCCTCTCTCTCTATCTCCCTCCCTCTCTGTCTCCCTCCCTCCCTCCTCCCTCCTCTCCTCCCTCTCTCCCTCCCTCTCTCCCTCCCTCTCTCTCCCTCTCTCCCTCCCTCTCCCTCCCTCTCTCTCCTGCACCGCATCATTAACGGAGTTTCTCTCTCTCTTCCAGGGCCAGCGGGTGACGACCAATGGCACCCTAGACGCTTTCCTGGTGGCCGGTGCTCCTCGCCTGCTCACCCAGAGGCGCCACGTCGTCCTCCGGAAGAACCTCACCCTCCAGCATGACGACATCGAGTACTGGGGTGTCTACTTGCTCGAGGGATCCAGCTTCTCCCTCTCCTCGTGTGCAAGGTGAGTGGAGAGAGAGGTTTTTTATTTAATGGGTGTATTTTATTGGGATTTTAAGTTTTTAATTCATGGGTGATGTTGTTTTTTTTTTTTAAATTATTTCCTCAATTTGTTTCTTCTTTCTTTCACGCTCGCTTTCTCGTTCGATCTGTTGTTCTAGTTTCAGTTTAGTCTTTACGTTGCGTTTATAGTTGTTGTTTTTTTAATCCTAAGCGGATTTCTTTTGGGTTATGTTTTAGATGTTATATGCTGTAACCCACGAGGATTTATATTTTATTTATTGTGTTGAATTCAAGGAGTTTCATTCAATAGAATAACCCTTCGTGTTCTCGGCAGATGGCCCGGCGGCACCCTGCTGGTGGTCGAGGGAGAGGAGAACCTGCGTAAGTGCTTCTACAAGGAGCAGAAGCTGCAGAACGAGCTCAACGGCGGGACGGCGGCGCTGAAGCCCGTTTACCACGGGGACACCGATGCCGAGCCCGACGACGGCCCGAGAGACGAAGACAACGACGAGGACGAGGACGTCGGCGGCGAGGTCTTCGACGACGACCACGAGCACGACCTTCGCCTTCTGGAGGCCGACGACGGCGAGGTGAGAGAGATCGAGGGCAACGGCGACGGGGTGGACCTCACGCCCTCCCTGAGCCACCCGAAGAACCTGAAGGCGCGCAAGAGCGAGAAGCGCAAGCTCCGGAAGGGCAAGAAGAACAGGAAGGACAAGAAGGCCGAGGCGCGTCGAGGGCGGTCCCGGAGGTCGCGCCTCGGGGAGCGGGTGCGCCGCAACAGCCCCGCCTTCGACGACAACCGGGAGATGACGCTGCTGGAGAAGTTGGAGATCCTGCACAGGCTGAACGACACGGTGGACATCACGTCGGGCAACTCCTCGTTCTCGAGCAGCGAGGAGTTCCTGGAGCAGTGCAAGGACACCATCCTGACGGTGGACCTCTCCCCCTTCGTCGACTGCCGGGCCCGCATGGACGACGCGAACCAGGGCAGCGACGGCCAGTGGACGTTCAAGATCAACAAGACGGACTACTACTACTTCATCTTCACTTCGGACAACTCCATCGAGCTGAACCTCCTGGACTTCAACCTGGACCTGCAGCGCGCGATCTACGACGTGAGCTCCCCGCTGGACACCTGCCGGAACGCCACGGAGTGCGTGTTCCCGCTGGCCTTCACCCAGGAGGAGGCCGTCGTGGTCGAGGTCCCTGCGCAGGAGCGGCTGCAGGAACTCCACTCCTTCGAGGTGACGACCACCTGCCAGCCGCGAGTGCCCGTCTACATGGTCTTCATCCTGCTCGTCCCCTTCATCATCTTGCTGTTCGCTTTCCAGTGATTTTCTCTCCTTTTTTAATGTTTTTGTTTTCGAATTTCCAAGCAGAAGCATAAATGCTCGTTTATTCGTCCATTTCGTCCAAAAGGGCAAAGTTGCAGTGGTCGAAGTGAAGCTGCGGACTATATCAATGTCAAAGAGAAATACGACAATCGATTGTGGCATTGCAAAAGTTGCAGCAGATGTTGCAAAGCAAGCGGTGTTATCAAAAGGCATGCATTCAAAAAACTTGGCGTATTGTATATATAAACAAGAATGCAGGATGTAGTGGATCCCCCCCCCCCCTTGAGTTTAAAAAAAAAAACTAAAAGTGACTCTGGGTAGGACAGAACCAGTGTCGTTTAATGGGAGTAACAAAGGCCCAGAAGAGAACAGGAAGGCGGCGCGGAAGGCGTGTCCGGCGGGGCTCGCAGGAGGCAACTGGCATTATCCTCCCCTCGCCTCCCGTCGCCCGAGGCCGGCCACGCGCCTGCGCAAAGCTACCTGCCAAAACATGTGCTTCTCGAACCGCCTTTAAACTAGTCATTTCCTCCCAGAGGTCAGTGACGCCTGGCTCAGAGTTCACTTTGACGGCGGTGATGACGAGCGGTCGCGGCGCGGGTGCCACTGCGGCCGCGGGTTGTAAATATCTATCCTCCTCGAAGTGTGATATCACGGTGTTCTCTTTTAGACTCGATCAAACGAGTAAATACAAAGTGATCTTGTAGTGAGCTCTGGTTCCCTGAAAATAATCTTAAAAAAAAAATAGTTTGTGGAGTGCAACTCTGAAATGAAGCCATACTCAGAAAGTTTAAAAGTTTAGATGTAAACTACTACTACTACTTTTACTCTCACTAATGGTATTACTTCTACTGTTACTTCATCCAATGCTGTCACGATCATTGCCATGGCATCCTAAATCCATTATTAGTATTAAAAATTTGTTTTTGAATCCATGTTTGACATGTACTTCCGAGAACGACGAGGGCATGTGATTGCCTCATAGTATTAGGTTGATAAGGAAGTCTTTCCCGTAAACGTGTGCAAGGTGTGTTTTGGTATCTGTAGGCGTTTGCCTGGTTTTGTGTCACCCTTTGAGTGTCATCTGTATTTTTTTTGTTTTTGTTTTTTCTTGCTACGAGATGGTTGGGTCTTTCCAGTATAGGAGAGCCTGTAAAGTGCCACACGCTTACAACCTTGTATAAAAAGATATATATATTCCATACACTGTGATTGTGGACATTCTTGCTTAATGACTTGAAGCAGATCTTGGGATTGTTAAAAAACACGTACAGAATACTCGATACTAGCTAGCAAGTGATGTAGGCTTTTGTCATTTCAAGAGAACCGAGTATTCGGTCTGCTCATTTAATCCACCGCTACTGTAGCCAAAAAAACAAGTAATCTGACATATTAGAAATTCCAAGGGAAAAGCTACAGTACGTGTGAAAATGCCCTCGATATGCCGGTCTGGTGGTAGTCTAATACTGGGGTAGTTTTGTACATCTGCTCTGTCTCACAAGAGTAGTTTATGCCAGCAAAATGAAGGCTGATCTCATTATTACCTCTCCCTTTTCACCCTAAAAGAAGTCCAAATTTTATGATTCGTCGATTACTGACTTGTGTTCAATTTCCTTTCAGTAGTAAATAGTGTATCTATTTACATAGGTGGTCGTTGACGAGGTTTTTCGATTGAGGAAAACTAATTCTCTCGCTCTTCCGCTTTTCTCTAATATATTTTCCAGCAATATGACTTTTATTTTAGCGTCATATCGTTTAGCGAGATCCAAATCGTCATTTTTATATGTGACACAAAATTTGTATAGTAATTAAAACCCCCTCACATGCATTCCACAGATCATTTCTTTATTATTTAGCTTCTTTGCCATGTATTCTGTATGTACACACGGTCTTGCGCACCATGTGATCCCAACATTGTGCCTTAAAGCCAGTACAAATATGTATATATGTGAATGTCATTTGTATTGAATTCTGTTTCTTTGTAAATTATTTTGTACCATTGCTCACGACAAAATATAACTGTTAACAAAAGTGTGATTATCATTCCAATCCTCTACATATTCATGTTTAAAAACTAAGCTAACAACAATAGTAAAACACGTAACTTGCCTTTAATTTGTAGGTTTCAGGTTTACTGATGATATAATGCATTCTGTACTGTGGGGCAAATTTTCTGAGTAGTAAAAACTTGTAATATTGAGTAATTATTTAAATAATCAACACACAAGACATACTAGGGATTTTTGTTGTTTATTTGTTTTTTGAAATATATAAAAAAAAAATGTTTTGTGTTCTTTTCCAAAGTGAATTTCTCTCAAAACTTTAATCCAAGGACTGCATGCGCGTCTTCAATACCGTTACCATTTTATTTTCTTGTCAAAAAACATGCAAGTATTTGTGGAAGGACTTGCTTTGTAAATGGTAAACGGTTAGAATTTACAAATCTCATAAATGTCTTTCATTGGACTGCATATTTGCCATTTCTCTTACTTTCAACGACAACTTTAGTTTCATTTCAGTCTCAATTCTCTTATCACTTTTCTCCTTGCAAGCATTATGAAATTCTATTTGTTCAATAACCAATAATGTGTGTGTGTGTGTGTGTGTGTGTAACATTTCACATACATGAAAATCAGACTCATGATAAATTCTTCATATATAATATATATAATACACATATGCCATGTTTGTATGCATGTGCCTGTGTTTATCACCGAAATAAATATATACATGTTTCTCTTGCCATAAATCCAAACTCAGTATCAATCAGTGCATCTTCTTTAATGACAAGACAAATGACAAGAAACAGAACCGCCTTTCTCAATACCATAATGAGAAAACACATGACACAAATCAATCCAACCTGACGGGGACATAAATGGCAGGCAACAAAATGAAAATAACATAATCTCCAGCTTTCTTTATTTGATTATATTTAAATATGTTTCATAAAAATGTGAGTATACCAGTGTCGGTACCAGAGACGTGAAAGCATCGAAAATAATCACAGAATATGTTGGCAAATAATAAATTACAAAAAAAAGAAAGAATATCCTAGCTGCTTTCTCTCGTCTGCCACTGCAAGTACATCTACAAACACGCCGTCGTCTACTTCACAAAACCATCCTCAACATCACCATCTTCTCCATTACTATCCATCATCTTCGTACTTCCGGAAGGCCCAAAAATCTATTGTAATCTAGAACGTTTTTTTTTTCTCTCTCGAAAATTGGTCCTCCGTGAAAAAGAGACAACAGCTGATATTATATTACAGTCCACTGCATATATACACAACTAGAGCTTTTTCTCTTTGCCAGCCTCCCCCCTCCGCAGATGCTGCTTTTTTCAATCACTGATGTGTGTGTGTGGCTAGTGAGTCAGAGAGAGTGAGAGTGAGAGTGAGAGTGTGAGTGTGAGTGTGAGTGAGAGTGAGAGTGAGAATTTGGACGTGCGCGCGTAGCTGGTGTGTCTGTCAGAGAGTGGCTGTATATACGTGTGAGTATGTGTGTGTTTATGGGTGGGCGTTATCTTGTGAGATAAAGAATGGCCGTGAGTGAGTGTGTGTGAGAGAGAGAATGTGTCTGATTGGATGCCAGCGAGAGAACCTGTCAGTGAGAGGCAAGGTGGGTTTGAGTGAGTGCGATGGTGCTTTGGTGTGGCGTTGAAAGGATACCTTCGAGAGAGAACCAATGAGTGAGTGAGTGAGTGAGAGTGTAAATAACTGACTTTTAAAGAAAGAATGAGTGGCTAACTGCTTTACAATGCTAGCAGCAAGAGTATAAATACAATTAAGTAGATGTGTGAGTGAATGAGAGAGAGAGTGAGGGAGTGAATGAGTGAGTGAGGGAGTGAATGAGTGAGTGAGTGAGTGAGTGAGTGAGTGAGTGAGTGAGTGAGTGAGAGAGAGAGAGAGAGAGAGAGAGAGAGAGAGAGAGAGAGAGAGAGAGAGAGAGAGAGAGAGAGAGAGAGAGAGAGAGAGAGAGAGAGTGTGTGTGAGAGAGGGTGAGTGTGTGAGTGTGAGGGTGAGGGTGAGGGTGAGGGTGAGGGTGAGTGTGAGTGTGAGTGTGAGTGTGAGTGTGAGTGTGAGTGTGAGTGTGAGTGTGAGCGTGAGTGTGAGCACAAGCGTGTGTGCGTGTGTTTATCTCATACATTTATATTCAATCCGACGATGTACCTTTCTGTTGGATAATATGCATTGTTTTTTTTTTCTTACACAGATTTAAAAATTCATAACTAAATGTCAGCAATGGATGAAACTGGTCATCATTAATCGGTACTTCTGACACAATACAAGATAATATCAAAAATTACTATTAAGTTCTTTTTGTCCTCTTGAAATTAAACATTTCCGCCATGCGTAAAAAACTAAGGTCTTGAAGCCTGCCTTATCAAGGGACAACACAACAATGACCAATTTCAACACAAGGAGACCAGTGAATTCTCTCAGACCAGTTTACAGAACGCTACCAACAACAGAAAGTGGGACTGATTATCCAACAAGTGTTTTGCCTGAGAAGCTTATAGTATCTACTGATAGGACCTAAACGAGTCTCTTCTCGTAGAAATCACAATAATAAAAACTCCTATAGGTTTTATATCCATACAAATTGTCCACACAGTGTCCAGAGGAGCTATCTATACATGGGCTTTCTAAAAAGGTCTAGAGAATGCAGAATTTGATCCAGGGGCGTTTGTACGAAGACATTCACATTGTATACTTGCAATGACAAAGCTGCGTGGCGTGGGGAAAAAGGGCGAATTTAAAGCATCCTGGGACAAGGTTCGGCCTGTCGGAATGAGGTGTTGCGACCTGTTTAAACATTCCTCGTCTGATAGTCACACTACATTGAATTTGAATTCTCGCATAGTGATGGGGGAGGGGGGAGAGCAGCATGTTAGAAAACACACACTGAAAACTCTTTGACTTTTTCTTTAATTGTAGTTCGTCTTGAAATTCTTAAGAGCACTGCTTAGAGAGTGAGGAGGCCCACGCACGCTCCACAGGAATCCAGCTGAGGGTGATGCTCATTTTTTCCCCGAGGTCTTCGTGTAAACCATTAGATGCAACAGCAAATTATGACAAGCCAAATGTTGCTGTGCACCTTTAATAAATACTGCTCAAACATCAGATTCTGTGTACCATAAAAAAAGAAAAAGAATATACATAACTCTGCCCTGTTGATATAATGTAGTTGTTTATACACAAAAGACTAAAACTAAATATGAATCTGAAATAAAACGACCGTAATGAGAGCAGAAATATTCCAAAAGAAACTTTCTGCAATGACAACTTTCTATTTCGTTCATGTCTGTAAAAGCACAGAACTCCTTCTACAAGAGAGAGTTGAGTTAGCCACTGGATGAGTAATCTTTAAACCTAATTACTTTCAATTTCAAATTTTAGGAAACTGAAAATTTAATAAATAAATGTTATCAAATAAAGCATTCCAAACTTATCTACATATTAACCACAATGCTTAACTAATGAAATAGATTATATTTTATTAATGGAAAAAAAAAAAAATTGAAAAATGGGCAAAAACAGAGGTAACTAGATTTTTTTTTTTTCATTTCACTTCATTCCTGGTCAAGAAAGAACTGAATATCTATTTTTTTTTTTTTTCCTTTTTTCATACCCTGATGCAGGCCTAATACTCTCCCTGCAAAATAAGAATCACAAAAAAAAAAAAAAAAAAAAAAAAAAAAAAAGTTCCACACTACCTTAAAAATCAAGGTAGTTACAACGCAAGTCTTTACACAAGAAATGACGTGTCAGCCTCTCTCTTTCTTAATTAAACCTTTGTCGTTTGGGAAGGCATCATCATCATCATCATCAATATCATCGTCGTCATCATCGTCATCATCATCAGCCTGGGAGATACACATACACATTCAACGTGTCTTAAACGAGTTGCCAGCTTCATAGGAGGTGACAACTGGGGGGAGGGGGGGGGATGAGACCCTGTTGCAGAGGTGCATTCAGCCTTTTTTTGTAGTGTGAAGAATTAAAAACCACTTCCCCTTTCAAAAGAGGGGCGTGGGTAATCTCGTTTAGAAAAAAAAAAAAAAAAAAAAAGATAAAAAATAAAGGCTAAAATATGTTACATTGTGTGTATTATATATAATCAATTAAATAAATGGGACCACAAACAGCTGATTATGGTTCTCTAGCAACAGATGAGATTACACTCCATCACTCATCTATACTACATATATTTCATAGATTGTTTATACATATTGTCAATTAACCAGATACGTAAGAACACTTAAGTCATCTTTTTACATAATCGTACAATGTCGTGACATCTTTACAAAATTAAGTTTTCTAAGTGTTGTGCACACAAGAGTGAGCCTGCGAGACATACTAATATCACAAAAGATAAAGCAGAGGATTGCTATTTATAAACATGGCTTTCATCTGTCACATAGGTTTGTTGGCAAGACCTGAAACTCCTCTCTTACTGGAAAAAAGTCACTGAAATATATATTAAGTCCTCCTAATCAAACCATATAATTCATACTCATGCATCAACTGCGCATGATCCTACATGGTGGAAAACGAAAGGAGAGTAAAAGGAAAGGAAGAACAAAGTTAATTCTGTCATATTACTGACAAATACATTCTTAAAAGACATCAACAAAGGGAAGCGTACGATGAAAAATGATTGAGACAAACCACAAGCCCCAGGAACATTACGTAGAGGCCCTAAGCACCCATACTGAACTCTATTAACTCTTGGGCCGTGATATTCATCTCTCGGAATACAATGGGTGCAGACAATTGCACATAGCTGACCTCCGAATATGCAATAAAATCACAAGACTAGCTTTCACATCAAATCGCAACAAATTGGACAGTAGTATGCACATACCAATGACAGACTTCATGAAGGTGGTAAAGTTCAAAATCAGTAGAGCTACATATAATAATAATAAAGATAAAAACAAAAGTCTGCAGCTTCGAAATCAAATGGCAACCAACCTAGGCTACAAAAGCACCCACCATAATTTAACTTCTCCTGCTGCCACCTTCATTTACGTTGATAATTCTTCAGGTTTTGATTAGAATTAACACACCAAATTTATTCTGCATGCAAAAAGCTACCTATGAAACTATTTGTTTACATAATGTACAAATAATTATTTAAAGTATCCTGTTTGTCCCTCTCTATTGTGAACATACCTGGCCAGCACCATGCAGTGTAGCCAAACCACAAGTATTCGCACTAGCATTCACCTTTTTACACAGAATATATAGCGCTCTTGCATACTGGCAAACATGGAACACTTTTGTGGAATAGTTTGTGAAAAGTTCCTGTAACTTGTGAGCATTTAGTAACTCCAGGACAAAATTCATGCTCCATGAAAGGTAGACGCTGGGCAGCAAATTTTTTCCGAGTCACCAATTTTACAGTGTCATTCTTTTCTACGTCAACCAGCACGTAATTCGAAATGATTTTAAATGCAGGAGTATTGTCGTTTGCACATTCAGAATGAGAATCAACAGTGTAAAACTCCTCTCGCATCACCCCAAGGTATGCTGCTCATTTTCTATCTTTTCACTTAACTGTCTGGACTTGTGAGCAATGACATTCAATTGTTTCTTTTCTATATCTTTTTATATATCACTCTAATCTAAAAAGGATTTCTCTTTTCAGATTTCCAAAAGGATGTTAGGTTCACAGTAAAAACATATTACTCTGAATATCTTACCCAATTACAATAGCTAAAAGCCTAACGCTGAACTGTATTGGTAACATCCCTCACTGTGCTCTCAATTTCTGCAAAGAGCTTTTCATTGTGTTCAATTGAGCGTCCCCCTGCTGAGCGCAGCTGCCTAGTCTGGAGCTCTAGGCGGGTTAGAAGTTCTCGCATGTGAAATCGACTCTGAGGTGGAATGTTGTCCATGTATTCCCAACAGGCTTGGTAAAAGTCTAATACCCTTTGTGCTGACTGGATGCAAGCAGCGACCGTAGTGGTGGCCCCTTCCGTCCGCAAGGTCGCCACCGAGGCTTCCACCCCACGGCCCTGCTCCACTAGCCCAGCTTTCTCTGTGCTGCTATTAGAGGACCCACTCACACTGTCACTCGGCAAGGTTCCTCCCGAAGACGTCATACTGGGAGGGGGATTACCAGAGGCATTGTCTTTCGACACAGAATCTTTTGTTTCTTTATTTGCTTTACTTTCTTTATTTTCAGAATCCTTGCCCTCCTTCTTCACGGAAATAACTGGCACCGATGGAGGCCTGATGAGGGAGGGGGTGGCGTAGATGCCCGCTGGCTTGGGTGGAGGTGGCTTGACCCCAGCAGGAGGAGGAGGTAATTTGAAACTCTTCACTACAGGCTTAACGGGCACGGAGGGCTTCCCGTCCGCTGGCTTGGCATCCCCTTCACTACTGCTGGGTGGCGGCCACACCCTCCGTTCCAGCTTGCCGACCTTGCCCTCATCTTCAGGGGTCTTTTTCAGGACCGGGGCGTCGGAAACCGAGTCTTTCTCACTTTTAGTTAACTTTGGCAAATCTGGCCGTTTGTTCATACTTGGAGCATATTTGGGACTAGTTTGATTAGGATCAGCCTTGGCCAGTTTATCAGCATCCTGCTTCTCCCACAACTTCTTTAAACTACTTATGCTACTTGAGCTAAAACGTTTGGCATCCTCATCTTCACTCACTTTTAAAGAATCACTCTGAACACTATCTCGCTTCTCACTATGAATACTCGTCACACTTTCGCTCATTATATCACTCTTGATTCCCGAGTCACAGCTCCGTTCGTTCTTCCCGGCATTATCACCCTTTTTGTTCACTTCACTAAGCACTTGTGAACCGTTTTCCTGCTGATCACTCGGAGAGGTGTCGTCTCCCGCGGCCTTGGTATCGTCCTCTTTAACAATATTGGTTTTTCTTAACTGCGCTCTGAAGTCCATCAAAGTACTGTGAGGATCACTTTCCATGTTAACATTATCATCACCCTTACTAGTGTCTGTTTTCCGAAGCTGAGTTTTAAAATATATTTTTCTCTCCTCTTTCTCTGAACTGCTCTTTTCAAATGTGTTTTTCACTTTCTTCAAATTGGTCTTAAAACCAATTTGATTACTACTGTCTCTTAAATTACTATTGTCAGATTCAATGTTCACTGCATTACCATTATCTAAATGTGGAGTATCCCCTACTTTGTTGGATTTTTGTCGTAGGCTCTCAAATAACTCCGAGACTAGTTGCACTGCGGGATTCTTCTGGCTTCCAGGTGACGTTTCTCCTCCTGTCACTCCTTCTGGACTTGGCTCCTTCTTGTCATCTTTCTGTTCCTTCTTTTCATCAGCTTCCTTTAATTCAGAAACTAATTTTAACTCTAAACTTTCCTTGACTTCATGGTTGATTCCCAAGCCCAGTACAACCTTGGGTTCCTCAGCAGACAGTTCTTCCACGCTACCATCTCTGGAAGCTAACGAGGCAGCATCAACAGACGGAGGGCTGCCATCAACCGCTGCAGGAGAAGATGGGGCTTGTCCACTTTCTCCTACTGGAGATGATGGAGTCTGCATGCCTTCTGTATCAGCTGATGACGATCCTGGACTCTTAGCCGCAGCAGAACTGGACTTCCCCTTGACTTTTGCACTAGATAGGCCTGGACGAGGAGACAGATTCTCTGTAGACTTGAAGCTTTCGCACGAATCTGAGGACTGGTCTCGGTGCCTCAGGCTGACTCCAAATCGAGATGCTGGACTTCCTTCACTAGCTTCACCATCTAGACTTGTATCTAGATTAGGTTTTGCTCGCACTGGGGGCTTATCAGCATCTGCATCCCTCATCCTACACCTGGTTACACTTAGTGTAGCCCTGTCTGCCTGCGGGGATTCAGATCCTTCGGCCACCCCTTGCTGAGAGTCCTGCACTGCAGAACTTGGCAACTTCTGTGGACTGACATTAGCAAAGTCTGCCTTTCGTCTAGCTCTGGGGGAAGGAATAGGTTTCTGAGCTAAGCGTCTCCTAGACTCTGGAGAGGAGGTGCCTAACCAGCGGTCCGAACCGGGCGGTGGAGGGAACTCCAAGGTTGCCGACTGGTTCTCCTCTATGAAGTCATCCGGTGGAGGAGGCAAATCTAATGGAGGCGGTGGGAATTCTAGGTCTGCCAAACTGGGCTCCTTGTTCCGCTTATCGGACCGCAAGGGCTGCAGGCGTGGACTTAGCCGAGATATCAAGGGCGACTGTGGCTGGAAACCACTCTGGGTCGAATTGCTGCGAATCATGGATGCAGCATTCTTATCCACAGCGTCCTTCTGATCTTCTTGATCACCATGCTCATCTTGATCTTCCCCCTGGTGTTCAGAAGACTGCTCATCTGCAGGAGGAACGCCTTGAGACAGGCCACTCTGACGGAGAGATTCAAGATAGGCACCAATCCTTGCACCCTTGGGCAGTGTGCCATAGCGATTGATGGCCCTCTTGACATTATGGACTTCCAAGGCTGCAACGGTGATGTGTCTGCTGCCAATAGTGCCGCTCTGGCTCTCAGATTTCTCCATCCTCCCTCGCCGTATTCTGTCTCCACCTGCCTTAGGGTCACGCAACCCACCTGACTTTTGTCTGGAAACAGAAGATAGATTTAAATTTCTGTACATGTTTAAAGAAAAAAAAAAAAAATTGAAAGAAACTTTTAGAGGAACGGTATCAGAATATTAGCTCCTGACTTATTTCAATACATAATGTAATATTAATTATACACATGATGAGTTACATGACCAGTATAAATATAAATGAATAGCAACAGACATTTATGAACCATATAAAACAAAGTATGAAAAATAATCACAGCTCGCACAAATTATTGGAAACCCTTGCATCCAAATGACAAAATAGGTCTCCCAGCTCCTACCCCTACCCCTATCCCCAGCCACGTCACGCAACACACCAACCAACCCACCTAAAGGACTGCAAATGCGGAGGATCGGATCTAAAAGTGGAGTGCGTGGACGTGAGGCCCTGAGTTGTGGGTAAGGACTGTGCCCCGGAGTCTTCGGTGTCGGGCGTTCTCTCTCTCAAGTCGCTCTCGCTCTCGGCATCGTTGCTACTCGCCAGATCAGCCAGGTCCTTCTGGATGCCTGGGGGGTGGGAAGGACCCTCGTGTCAAGCTAAATATCACAGCTGGGGGAACTGGAGTTGTGTGCAAGGCTTGGTTTAAGGATGGATCCCTTTAATTTGAGATTTTGAAAATAGATATGGTAATCCTTGGGCTAAGAGTTTATGGTTTAGACTCTACTTCTGTTTGTATTTGTGTGAGGATGCAAAACTGTGGTTGTGGGTGTGGCTGTAGGTGTGGGTGTGATTGTGGGTGTAGTTGTAGGAGTGGGTGCAGATGTACGGGTAGGTGTGGGTGTGGGTGTGGGTGTGGGTGTGGGTATGGGTGTAGGTGTAGGTGTAGGTGAAGGTGTAGGTGAAGGTGAAGGTGAAGGTGAAGGTGTGGGTGTGGGTGTGGGTGTGGGTGTGGGTGTGGGTGTGGGAGTGAGTGTTGGCATGGGTGTGTATATAGATTTAGATGTTGCATGTTTAATAATTTTGCTTATGAATGTTCTACCAAATAAATACACCTGTCCCATATTTAAATGCATGTTCTTAATTATTCAAGAATGACATTATTTTGCTCACACTTTCACCAAATAAAACCTGCCAAAATTTTTAGATAATATAACTGACTAAACTTGTTCACACTGTTTTTTCCTTATACTCATTTTATATTTAATCTATTTATTCACCTATTCATTTACTTTTTATTCATGAATTCATTAATCTTAAGTTTTCTTTTTTCTTTTTCTTTTTTTTTTCTTTTTTTCTCTCTCTCTCACACCACATTCATGCAAGTTACACAATGAACTGCTTTTCATAGACAGAGGTAATACGTTCCTTGCCTTGGTACTTTATTCCACATTCGTATCTGTCAGACACAAGTTGTTCCGTAATTCTTTTCCATTCTGATCCTTAAACCATACATTTATTTTTATTTTTATTTTTTTTATTCACTACATTTGGTTACGTCCAAACTTACAGAGAACCAAGTGACCTGATTGTATATTTATCAATCATCTCCACCAATCTGTACCATTAAGTGAAACAATATAAAGTATCAATTCAGTGTATTTCTTCTGACTGAATGCTATACTGGCATAGTAAGTGAATAAGTATGAAAAGAAAATATATATATATATATATATAATGTACACAGGCAAAGCAAATTTAATCTAAAATGCTTACTCAAATTATGAAAAATGTAAAATAATTCCTTGTTCACCCACACAGCAAAAAAAAAACCTGAGTAAAGATGCGCACAAAGATGAAACACAGCTGCAAAAGAGAGAAATAACAAATTGCGATGTTCCCAATCAGACAAAACTCTCAAGAGGAGATAAAATGCAAAACAGATGGGGTACCACTTTGCTAGTACCTCCTGATGAGGACTTTGGCCTGACTTGTAACATCACAATTCACATCTTCATTTTTACAGCTGCATTTCACTTCATCTGTGGCTCAACCTCTTATGAACATTTGCTTTTTATCTTTGTTGAAAAAAAGTTTTACTGCTGTTGCTCTTTTTACAAGCATACAAGGTTTGTGTTTCTCACAGAAAGTCATGCACGTATACAGGGACAGGTGTATTATGCCTTTTAGAATATGTTACAGCTAATAATAATAATAATAATAATAATAATAATAATAATAATAATAATAATAATAATAATAATAATAATAATAATAATAATAATAATAATAATAATAATAATAATAATAATAATAATAATAATAATAATAATAATAATAATAATAATAATAATAATAATAATAATAATAATAATAATAATAATAATAATAATAATAATAATAATAATAATAATAATAATAATAATAATAATAATAATAATAATAATAATAATAATAATAATAATAATAATAATAATAATAATAATAATAATAATAATAATAATAATAATAATAATAATAATAATAATAATAATAATAATAATAATAATAATAATAATAATAATAATAATAATAATAATAATAATAATAATAATAATAATAATAATAATAATAATAATAATAATAATAATAATAATAATAATAATAATAATAATAATAATAATAATAATAATAATAATAATAATAATAATAATAATAATAATAATAATAATAATAATAATAATAATAATAATAATAATAATAATAATAATAATAATAATAATAATAATAATAATAATAATAATAATAATAATAATAATAATAATAATAATAATAATAATAATAATAATAATAATAATAATAATAATAATAATAATAATAATAATAATAATAATAATAATAATAATAATAATAATAATAATAATAATAATAATAATAATAATAATAATAATAATAATAATAATAATAATAATAATAATAATAATAATAATAATAATAATAATAATAATAATAATAATAATAATAATAATAATAATAATAATAATAATAATAATAATAATAATAATAATAATAATAATAATAATAATAATAATAATAATAATAATAATAATAATAATAATAATAATAATAATAATAATAATAATAATAATAATAATAATAATAATAATAATAATAATAATAATAATAATAATAATAATAATAATAATAATAATAATAATAATAATAATAATAATAATAATAATAATAATAATAATAATAATAATAATAATAATAATAATAATAATAATAATAATAATAATAATAATAATAATAATAATAATAATAATAATAATAATAATAATAATAATAATAATAATAATAATAATAATAATAATAATAATAATAATAATAATAATAATAATAATAATAATAATAATAATAATAATAATAATAATAATAATAATAATAATAATAATAATAATAATAATAATAATAATAATAATAATAATAATAATAATAATAATAATAATAATAATAATAATAATAATAATAATAATAATAATAATAATAATAATAATAATAATAATAATAATAATAATAATAATAATAATAATAATAATAATAATAATAATAATAATAATAATAATAATAATAATAATAATAATAATAATAATAATAATAATAATAATAATAATAATAATAATAATAATAATAATAATAATAATAATAATAATAATAATAATAATAATAATAATAATAATAATAATAATAATAATAATAATAATAATAATAATAATAATAATAATAATAATAATAATAATAATAATAATAATAATAATAATAATAATAATAATAATAATAATAATAATAATAATAATAATAATAATAATAATAATAATAATAATAATAATAATAATAATAATAATAATAATAATAATAATAATAATAATAATAATAATAATAATAATAATAATAATAATAATAATAATAATAATAATAATAATAATAATAATAATAATAATAATAATAATAATAATAATAATAATAATAATAATAATAATAATAATAATAATAATAATAATAATAATAATAATAATAATAATAATAATAATAATAATAATAATAATAATAATAATAATAATAATAATAATAATAATAATAATAATAATAATAATAATAATAATAATAATAATAATAATAATAATAATAATAATAATAATAATAATAATAATAATAATAATAATAATAATAATAATAATAATAATAATAATAATAATAATAATAATAATAATAATAATAATAATAATAATAATAATAATAATAATAATAATAATAATAATAATAATAATAATAATAATAATAATAATAATAATAATAATAATAATAATAATAATAATAATAATAATAATAATAATAATAATAATAATAATAATAATAATAATAATAATAATAATAATAATAATAATAATAATAATAATAATAATAATAATAATAATAATAATAATAATAATAATAATAATAATAATAATAATAATAATAATAATAATAATAATAATAATAATAATAATAATAATAATAATCTGGTCATGAGCGATCTGGTCATGAGAGGCCACAAGGACTCAAGTGTCACATTCTCAACTTGCTTACCATGATACACATAAATGGCCTTAAATTTTTATGGCAATCTATGGTATGTTTATCTTGCAGGGAATAACAAACCAGAAAATATCTATCAAGGCAGTGGTTTTATCACTAACAGTTTATGCTAAGACTTAACATTTTGTAAAACATTTCTTGAGTACTAATTTATAAAGTGAAAAGCATTTATTGTTACTTAGAACAGAATTCAGGAACTAGTAATGATCAAAAAGACATATGTTTTATACATTCTATAGTAATTATAAATAACTTTTATCTCCATGACTGATTTCACTGGCCTAGACTAATGCAAATAATCATGAAACTGAATTAGACAAATTATGCAACAATATATATAACTCTCAAGGTTATCCCTATGAAGAGGAAAGAAGATAACCTCCATTTTCTTTTTAACAAACTAAAAAATATCAAACATTTACAAGGTACTCCAAAGTCAAGCCATAACAGAGAGAGAGAGAGAGAGTTAAATAGGCAAAAGTTAGGAAAAAAAGCACAGCAGAAGAACACAAAGATAAAATATATAAAAAAAAAAAGAAAAAAAAAATTAAAAAATTATCAAAAAACACCAAAAGCACAACGAACTTGCCTGTGTCGTAAGGAAGTGCATAGTGGGTTGGAATGTGGAATGGCAAATCAAACAGGTCATCTACTGTACTGGACAAATTAAGTGGCGTGTGCTCCGAGACCCATGACTCCGGGAAGGGAGGAAAGGTTTCTCGGACAGAGCCAAACTGTAAGGTCCTTGATTACAATTGGAAAACAAGTCACACCATGTTAAAAGAGTCCTCACTGTGCTAACTAAAGGAACTCGAGGGCACGTTCTTCCTTCTCGCTTTTTGATAGTCAATAATATACTAATCTTAATGATTTTTTAAATGATGATGATGATAATAATAATAATAATAATAATAATAATAATAATAATAATAATAATAATAATAATAATAATAATAATAACAGTAATAGTAATAATAGTAATAGTAATAATAGTAATAATAGTAATAATAGTAATAATAATAATTATAATAATAATTATAATAATAATTATAATAATAAAGAAAATTCAATAAAATATTTGCATTAATAATACAATCAAAATGTATATAAATATGAATAAGAATAAGATTATAAATCTAAATATAAATATAAATACAAATATGAATATAAATATAAATATAATATACACACACATACACATATACACATATACATATATGTGCATATATGCACACACACTCACACTCGCACTCGCACTCACACTTGCTCTTGCTCCCGGGCTCACTCACACACTCACACTCACACTAACACTCAACACTCACAATCAAACACACTCACACTCACTCTCTCTCTCTCTCTCTCTCTCTCTCTCTCTCTCTCTCTCTCTCTCTCTCTCTCTCTCTCTCTCTCTCTCTCTCTCTCTCTCTATATATATATATATTTCATTTCATTTCATTTCTCATCCTCAGTCTCACTCTCGCAAAAAAAAAAAGACAGACAGACAGACAGACAGACAGACAGACAGACACACTCACTCACTTGCTCACTCACTCACTCACTCACTCACTCACCCACCTACTCACTCACACACACACAAAAATAAATCCTGTGAAAAAGATATTACAATTTCTAGGTCGCAAAAAAAACAAAAAGAAATATTCAAGGGATTCCTCTATAAAAAATAATAATAATAATAATAAAAAAAAATCAACAACAGACTTGAGACGGCTAAACTTACAAGACCGCAGTGGCTCCAACAGTCATGCTAACATTAGCGACTGTAGGTCTGAGAAATTCCAGGAGTAATGCCACAACACGACCTACTCACAAATAGCACTCAGCATCATATGAAGAATGAAAAAAATAAACAAAAAAATATAATTCTTTTCATTCAGTAACAGCCTACTGCTGACGTCTATGGAAGGCAAAAAACTATGTATATAGAGCACAAGGATATAAACTTCAGCTAATATCAAATCCATAGCAAAAATAAAAATGAATGAAAAAAATTTGAAAAAAAAAAGTATTTATAAAGGTATATATAAATATATATATATTTGAAAAAAATTTCCTCATCAGGCAAGTCAAAGTCGGCAAGGGAAACAAGCAGAAAGGCAGAGGAGAGACAGGGACGAAAGACGTGGTACCTTCAAAGATTTTGTCTATACCATTGAATTCATTGAGCTCGTCTCCCGCCATCCCGGCTGGCATGTCTTGGTCGGTGCAGGTACTGTCACGGAATGAACTGGAAGGGGAAACGCAAGGTAAATACTCATGGACTTTTATTCTTCATCTAACAGATACTATTAAAAATGACTAGTTTCTCTATCTGAATTCTTCTAAAGTTCTAGAACATTCAATTATATATATGACAAATTATATATGACATGAACAATATTTTTTTTTTATCATTTCTTTAAAATAGGTATTATACATCCATACCTGACACAGAAAACAAGGGAGACACTAACGAGACTTCTCTAAAACGGGAAAAGTGCAAAACTTACCTTGTTCTCTTTGGCGGCGCTGGTGCCTGTTTGCCCTTCTTGTTGGTGGTGCGGCGCAGCTGAACTACAGTGGAACGAGCAGAGAGGATGCCGGGGCTCGGTCGTACGTCCCTTGGCAGGTTGGGACTACTACCTTCATCCATCATACCATGCTTGTTTTTAGTTCTTCTGGGAATAAAATACAAGTTTTAACCATCCTTCCTTCCATACTTCCATCAAGCCATCTAGCCGTCTATCTATATCTATGTTGAAACATATCCCCTTCAAATCTAATAAGGTGTTAACAAAACCTCTCTCACATCATCAAAGTCCATCAAACTCCACACACATGATTTACATATGAATGGACAACTAGAATAACCACACCAAAGAACACTTAAAACTTCAGAATATATCACCAACACATCTCCATTTAAACAGCCCCAAATAGCACTATCGGTCAACTTCGCTTCCTTCTGCACACACGAACTATAACACTTACTGCTTGGTGGAGGATGTTCTTGGACTAGTAGGAAGCTGTTCCTCATTCCACTGTTGGTGTGTGCCTGTGGAAGAACCTCTAACCACCTTCCGTCCTCCACCGGCTGCTAACTGCTGTTCCACCTCTGTTGATACAATTATAGAATTAGTGAGTGATCCTTCCCTTTGTGTGAGTCTGTGTGTGGGCTTCCATCACACGTACACACTGTGGTGAATCTATAATGTCCCTTGTATCTTTTAAACATCAGAAACTCGTGGAGAAAAGTTAAAGCACAACTCGGTCTCTTCCACTATCCGTTACATTTATCACCTCTTTTCCAATTAAAAAAAAGTATCACCAAAACACTCAACACATGTGAGAAGGACATAAAAGACATCCATCTGCACGATCTGCCTGCCTGCGCATGCTCACATACCCTCAGTAATAGAAGTCTCCTGGAACATGGTCTCGAGCGCATGGTGGATATGGGAGAACGTGGGCCGGTCCGAAGGGATCCACAGCCAACACTGCTTCATCAGTTCGTACACTCTTACTGGACATCCCTGAGGGCAGTCCATTCTGGAAAATTTGAAGTTTGGATAAAAAGGTATGTTTGATATTCTTTTTATCATAAATCATCAAATAAGTAATACATTTTCTAAAGCTTAAATCAGCAAAATGTAACATAAGGTGCAAAATTTAAACTAGTGAACATACTCAGCAAAGGTTATATCATGGAACATAAAGTGTATCATGCCCTGTGAAACATAAATCAGGAATAACCAACTACTGGGATAACACTTCTCTTAAACTTCTACATATAATAAAACATGTGTAATAAACATCCCTTACCTATATCCTGACTCTAAAAGGTGATACACATTGGTCAGGTCTACCCCAGGATACGGTGACACTCCATATGTTGCAATCTCCCATAGTAATATGCCAAATGCCCAAACATCAGACTGGAAATAAAATGTTCCTCTTTGTTAACTACTTGCAGATCATGTTATACACCATGTATTATACTAATGCTATACATACAGTATACTATATAGAAAAACCTTGATATAATCTATATCACAATGAAAAACTAAACCTACACATCACACTGCAAAACATTTATACCTTTGTAGAAAATTTATTATAGGCTAGACCCTCTGGTGCAGTCCACTTGATTGGGAATTTGGCTCCAGCATGAGCAGTGTACGTGTCATCTCTCATGAGACGCGCCAGCCCAAAATCGGCCACTTTGACTAAGTGGTTTTCCCCGACTAAACAGTTGCGAGCTGCTAAGTCCCTGTGTAATTTACAAAATATGCTTAAAATATCTATATTGTATAATAGTTACAATAACGAACATCTCTGACATTTGACTGTATTTTTAATTATTATACTGTAATTCAAAGTATCTTTCATCTTAAAAGAATCTTAGTTACAATCATCTCTGAGATATGAGTTCAATTATCTTTACAGTGACCCAGCAAATAAAAAAAAAAGGAAAAAAAAAGTCTTTACCTGTGTATGAAGCTCCTCTCCTCTAGATACTCCATCGCTGCAGCTACCTGAGTTGCCATGTACAGCAAAGTTACCTCGTTGACCTCATCGTGACTACAAGTGCGCAGGTAGTCCAGGAGGTTACCTCGGGACATGAACTCCGTCACAATGTAAAAAGGGGGTTCCCGAGTACACACCCCTAGGAGCTGAACGAGATTGGGGTGTTTCATTTCCTTCATTATTGAGGCTTCTTCTAGGAAGTCCTTCAGGGCCATTGTATCTTCCTGCAATTCAAGAACAATATCAATTAAACCAGCAATACCTTTTACTAACTGATATCATCATGACATACGTAATGTATTTCAGATCTTCAAATATAGCATTAGTAACACTTGATAACCTAATTTTAATCATTTTTTTTTTGTTCTGTTTTATCTCTATGTACTTGGAATGGCTACACTCTTACCTTGAGAGTTTTCACAGCGACACAGATGTTGTATCTCTTCCAAACAGCTTCATAAACATCTCCATACTGGCCTCCCCCAAGTTTATGTTTCATTGCTATATCGGTCCTCTCAATTTCCCACTCATCCGGCTCTGCAAAATCACCGAGGGAATTAGTTTCCTGTGGGATCGACACTGGCTTACCTATATCCACGTATAATATCCATTTTATGAACACACAATGTGAGAGAGAGAGTGAGAGAGAGAGAGAGATCTTTCAACATGAAACAAATATTTCAAAATAAAGCACAATTCAAAAAAAAAACAGAAACAAAGAGAGAAAATAAATATATACCTTCAAAGGCAAACATGGATACTGTACCTGGAGTAAGACCAAACACAGTGGGTTTATTTCTCTTTGGGGCAGGATATAACAGCTGGGTGATAAGACCATCGGCATGTTGCGAGTGGTGGTGTACCAACTCTGCCAAGGTGTTGAACCGAAATTCTGAAGACACATACAGCTGCAGAGGAGGAGAAAAGTCAATTTCTGGTTGTTTCTCATGCGTGTTGGTCAGTTCATTGGCCCTCGACATTTTAAAAGTACATCAAATATTTAGTGTAACTATTTAATGCATTTATGTATTTTTGCATATGATTAATAAGATTTAAGTAATTAAAAATTAAATACCACAAAGACTCTCAATGTGTATATTCTTTTATAAATGAAAAAATCACCCTAATATCATGTTCTAAATCAAGCACAAAGCAGCATTCACTTTTGTAAGGACTCCAATGTCTTATTCTCAAAGTGCCTGGTTATTGTTGAAAATTACTGCATATAATCATGTGGGGGAACCAAGAAACCTTTAAAAAGAGGGTGATTTATGGTCTGGTGAAAGTTTCAATAAAGAAGAGTTATGAAGAAAATTATCACATTATAACTGTCTACACCTTAGCAATTTAGCTAAATTCATACTGAGCTTTTATCTCAATACATTTACAAAACCCACATCACCATTAATGTATATCACAAAAAAATAGGACTTACTTTAGTCTTTTATTCATTCTAGTGAAAATCTTCATCAAGTCTAGTCTTATGTCTGACACCTTTTCTCGCCACTTGGACAAACTTAATGACAGATTTGAATACATTACAAAGATGATGCTGTTTCATAACAAAACTTGGATTTAATAACAAATATACTTTCTAACATACAACAGGAGACAAAATATAGTTCCTTGTAGCTCATGCTAGGCTAGTTGATCTACAAGACTACAGTACATGGCAGTTTTACTTTTCTTTTGTTACTTTATTCTTTTACCATCCTAGCTATCTGCTCAGGGATGGCCAAACTATTATGCAACAATTGTGGCATCACTAAATAACAAAATCTAGGATGCAATGCGCACTGGGAGTTTATACTTGAGTTCAGTTTCATATTTACCACCCTGGCCAACTGCATAGGCATAGGAGAATCTGATTATTCTGCCAGGTGACTGTATCAATCATATCAAAAAACATCAAATGACACATATAGGATTTAGATCAGGATATAATCTAAATATACCCCATGAGATTAAGTCGTCACACGGACTCACTCTGCATCGGGAAAGGCGTCATCCTTAGAGCCCATTCCATCATTCCATCATCCACCACACATGACCATAACCTCACATCACATGACACTCAACCTACGACACTTCAGGAGCCCAACCACCCCCACCTGACACCCCCTACCCCACCCCTACCCCCCTCCCCACCCCACTCCCCCCACGCCACCCCCCCCCCCCCCCACATACCTTAGAGTTCTCGTCCTCATTGATCCTGTAGTGGTAGACGCGGCCGTCGTAGCGGAGCGAGATGGACCTCTGGCCCGGCGAGCTCTCCGACTCCCGCACCAGGAACGACCCGTTGATGCCCGACGAGAGCAGGTACTCGGCCGTGTTCCTGGAGATGGGGCCGTGGTACCAGGAGTGCTTCTCCAGGGAGTTGACGGGCGTGATGTAGTTGGAGGGGACCCAGCCCACCTCCCCCGACCCCGCCTGCGCCTCGCACCACTCGCCCGACTTGTTGTAGCTCAGCACCCGCACCTGCTCGCCTGCGGACGGAAGGGAGGTTAGCACAGGCCTTCTTCGTATTAGTAGAGGTTGTCATTTCTTAATGAATAAGGACTACTATATGTTGTGATTTCTTAATAAACAAAGATTATTATATATTGTTGTGATTTCTTAAGTCGTGATGATTTCTTAATGAATGAGGATTAGTATATTGTTATTTCTTAATGAATGGGTTAATTAGGAATTCATTCATAATAAAATGATGTGGGACAATATCCTATATCATGGACAGTCACACGCCTTCCCATTCGGATCGGTTCGTCTCAAGGGGGAGGAGAGGTGTATCAAAAATACAATCCCATCAAAGTGTAAAGCACCTCATACCTTAAAAAAGAAAGAAAGAAACAAAACTAATAGCGTGAATATACTAAAACTGCAAAGGAGGGGAAGTTTACCGTATCCCTACAAAAGGGGCAACAAAACTTTCCTCCGAAACTGAAAACTATTTCGAAATAATGAAACACCCTTTTCGTACCCCCCACACCCCCACACACCCCCACACCTCCCACCGCTGCAAAATAAAAAAAAAGAATTCTCGAAAAGTACATAAAGTTTCCCAAACAGTAAACCAATTACATTTCACTTGATTAAGCAAACGTGGCACAGCGCGCGCCAACGTTTTATAACATACTCCACAACACTCAAACTTATTTGAATACGCTTTAGGCAAGATGGTAAAAAAAATATATACGAAGCAGCAAACTATATGAATTAATACATACGTAACTCATTTCATTCTATACGTAAACATCTTCAAAAGCCTCGAATCCACGTAGAGGGAAAGCATTTTCGCGTCCATATAAAACCGCATCATTTACGTAAACATAAATTCCTTCTAACTTTTTTTCTTCTTCTCTCGTACCTCCTACCGCAAACAGCCGAACGATGAAACCCAAAAGCACATTTCACAAATTAAATACGAACATCAAAAGCCCTTCTTTAAGCGACGCAAAATATCCCAAACACGTGAAACAGAACTCCAGACTGAACTTTCCTACTTCCGTGGAACAGTTTGCGTAAACACACGGCGGAAAGAGGGAGAAGGAATGAACATAAATCAAATTACTTAGTAGATAGGTACATAGACTGGTTAGATAGACAGACGAACACAGATAGATATATAGATGGATAGATAGATAAATAGATAAATAGACAGATAGATAAATAGACATAGATAAACAGATGGATAGATAGACGGACAGAAAGAGGCAGAGAGAGGTAAATAAATAGAAAAGCAGACAAGTAAACACGTAGACAAACAGACTGAAAGATAAATTAATTGTTTACATACATGCATGTATATAAAATACACATAAATAAAAAACAAACACGAGAAAACATAAACAGTTAATCAATGCACTAATTCAAGAATTATGATTCCAGTTGGCAAACTCTCCCACTTTACGAATATATTACTCCCTGAACAATATACAATATTCATAAACATCATAAACATCATCAACAACAACATCATCATCAACAACAACAACAACAACAACAACAACAACAACAACAACAACAACAACAACAACAACAACAACAACAACAACAACAACAACAACAGCAACAGCAACAACAACAACAACAACAACAGCAACAACAACAACAATAACAACAATGACGACGACCGTACATAAAGTGCTCCCTTTTTCCTCTGAAGCTAAAACGGAGACGCACAAACTCACGAACTTAAATCTTGGTGACGCAGCTATTTTCTTCAGTTGAGTTTTCATGACTATGCATGGGGAAGGGGGTGGAGGGGGGTGGAGGGGGGAAAAGGGGGTGGAGGGGGGAAAAAGAGGGAAGGGGTTGGAGGGGGAGAAGAGGGGAGAAGGGGAAGGGGAAGGGGGAGGGGGGGAGAAGGGGAAGGGGGAGGGGGGGAGAAGGGGAAGGGGGAGGGGGGAGAAGGGGAAGGGGGTGGAGGGGGGAGAAGCGGAAGGGGGTGGAGGGGGGAGGAGGGGGGGAGAAGAGGGAAGGGGGTGGAGGGGGAGAAGAGGGGAGGGGAAGGGGGAAGAATAAGTGGTGAAGGGGGTTGGAAAGGGGGGCAAATTACGAAGGGAGGAAAAGGAGCAGTAAAGAGAGAAGGGGAAATGGAAATAGAAAAGAGAAAAGGGGGAAAGGGAAAGAGGGAAAGAGGAAAAGGAGGAAAGAGGGAAAAGGGGAATGAGATAAGGAAGAAAGAACAGTAAAGGTGAAGGGGACGGGCAGAGAGGGAGACTAAAGGAAAGGTTGAGGAGAGTGGAAAGGAGGGGGAGAGGAGGGATTTGTACTGCAAATGAAACAAAGAAGCATTGGTACGTTTTTTTGCTTTATTTTATGGTGTGTGTGTGTGTGTGTGTGTGTGTGTGTGTGTGTGTGTGTGTGTGTGTGTGTGTGTGTGTGTGTGTGTGTGTGTGTGTGTGCGTGTGCGTGTGCGTGTGCGTGTGCGTGTGCGTGTGCGTGTGCGTGTGCGTGTGTGCGTGTGCGTGTGCGTGTGCGTGTGCGTGTGCGTGCGTGTGTCTGTGTCTGCGCGCGCGTGCATACGTCTCCAAATAAAACAATCAGGAGCAAAACTGAAAGTAAAACCACTAACAATCACACGACAAAATAACATAAGTAAAAAAAATGAAATAAAAAATAATTGGGACCATAAATAGAAACTTGACTAGCACCCCCGCACCGCAGCTCGGCCAGGTGTTGCTAGCTCTGCTCTGCAAGGAAAGGGAAGGGGAAAGGGAGAGATGGAAAGAGGAAAGGGAGAGGCGGGAAGGAGAGGGAGGAGGGGAGGGAGTTAAGGGGGAGAGAGAGGGGGGGTGGAAGGAGAAGGGAGGAAGGGGAGAAGATGGGGAAGAGTGAGATAAAGAGGAAAGAAAGACGAAGAGGAAAGAAAGACGAAGAGGAAAGGGAAGAGAAAGAGAGGAGATGGGCAACGAGGAAAGACGCAGAAAGAATAAAAGACAGAATGAAGGAAAGGCGAAGAAGCCAGAAGAGGAGGAGGGGAGTGTCAGCAGAAAGGGGGAAGAGGGGGAGGGGAGAGAACGGCACTTAAATCCCGAAACGACTGCACTTTCAGGTTTCCAAAAGTGGCGGCTCACTCACGCCAAAACACCTGCTGCTAATTACTCTGGCAAACGGAGGGAGGGAGGGAGGGAGGGAGGGAGGAAGGGAGGGAGGGAAGGAAAGAGGGGAGAGAGGAGGGAGGGACGAAGGGATAGAGGGGAAAGAGAGGAAGGGAGGGAGGGAGGGAAAGAGGAGGGGAGGGAGGGGAGGGAGGGGAGAGAGAAAGGAGATGAGGGAGGATGGATGGAGGGAGAAAGGAGGGGAGAGAGAGAGAAAGGGAGGGAGAGAGAAAGAGAGGGAGTGAAGGAAGGGAGAGAGAAACTGAGAGCCAATCAACTACAAACATATATCCAAGTGTGCATACATCCAATACCTACTTCCTCCGAAATGTACTGCATAACGTTTGTCAATAACTGATCATAAACTAAACGCAATCAATAGACAAGCAATAAACCACATACAAGCACGCATACACACATAAATATCAAAGACGGAGAGAGTGTGAGAAAAAGACTCGAGGGAGAAAACGAATAAACAAAAGCGGCGCGGAAAAAAACAACAGAGACAGAGAGAGAGAGACAGAGAGAAAAGAAAGCGTGAGAGAAAGAAAGAGAAAGGCGAAAGCGCGAGAAAGAGAACGCGATAAAAGGCCGAGATGGACAAACAATAAACAAATAGGCACTGGCACCCCCCACCCCCCATTAGCGACAACAGCGCCATGTGCGTCGCGGGGAACCAGGAGTTGGTGTAAAACGTTTCGAACCGTGTATGGCAACACTGCTAAGTAGTTGTCGCACATTTAGAAAGGCGAATCGACGAAATCATATCAGTCTATATAGATACATAAATACAAAACGTAATTCACAAACTCAAAAAGGAGAATACGGGATATTTTGGAGTTAATCAAAACATGCTTCTCTTTCTCCAAAACTAACTTATTTCCAAAACGCAGCACAGGGCCAATCGTCCGCGTCGATGGAAAAACAAACTCTACATTAACACATTAACTACATTTGTCTCAATCAAGTTCCTGCATCGTTGCAAATGTCAAACCACCTTGCAACTGATTCCCTAAACGGACTGACTTCCAGGTTTTTTAGCAATAGCTCTTTTTCTTATCAAATTTTCAAACTCCACTTGAGGTTTTTTTTTTCTCCTCACGTCTCCATTTCCTTTTTTTTTCTCTCTCTCTCGTTTTTCCTAATCTCTTCTCTCTCTCTCGCGTTCCCGTGTGACTCACTCTAACGCTTACTCACCTTCATACTCAGTGGCAGCGTCTGTTCAGTCCTGCAATCATCCCGCTGCAACACCGCGCCACTTTGCACCCACCTCGACTTTAAAACCCCACCTCTCGCCCCACCTGCGCCTATCCTCTTTAGACCCAACTACGCCCGTTTGAGTCAACAACGCCCATTTGACTCAACTAAGTCCACTCTACTGACGACTAACGCGGGTAAAATCAAATCACTCAGACCGTCAAACCGATCCGGGTCCTCCAAACACCACCCCTACCCCACCCCACCCTCAACCCCCACACCCCCACATCACTCAACGTGTTCCTAACATGTCCACTCGCGTCCTCACCTGTTCAATCAAAACAAACGTCGGCCGCGTAATTGACCCAACCCGACCCGACCCGACCTGACCAATTACTTACTCGTCTACGTCACACTTACCTACGCCTATTCCCTCCCTGACCCCCTCCCCCTCCTCCTCCCACAATCCCCTACCCCCTCCCTTCTTACCCTCCCTCCAACACTCTGAGTGTTGGAGGGGAGAGAGAGAGAGAGAGAGAGAGAGAGGAGAGAGGAGAGAGAGAGAGAGAGAGAGAGAGAGAGAGAGAGAGAGAGAGAGAGAGAGAGAGAGAGAGAGAGAGAGAGAGAGAGAGAGAGAGAGAGAGACAGACAGACAGACAGACAGAGACAGAGAGACAGACAGACAG